ATAACAAAAAATTATTTTATAATAATTAAAAAATATATATATAAAAATATTACAATATTTATGAATACAGCAGAACATAAAGCATTACACAGCTTGATCATGCAAATACATTTCCCAATGTAAACAATTATCAGATACTACTGATACTTAAAATATCTGGGAAATGACAAGAATCTTTCAAACCAAATCTGACGTTTAGCCAAAATATCTTATAATTATAATTCACCTTGATTCTATTCACTACAGAGTCATCAAATTGACACCACCCGTTCTCATCTTTGATGTCAGCATAGTAGTGTCCTCCATTGAGAGAGCCAGAATGGTTGGCTATAGCATACAAATCATATGTGTAATTTACACCAGCCACTTCCTGAAAACACATATATTAATAACACATTGTTTTACTCATTTTCTACTGAAACAAACAGCCAAAGACAAATACATTGGCATCATCTGTATTAAAGAGAAATTAATCACTTCATCCGATATCGGGCCAAACGGTTCTCTTTGCTTAACCGTTCCATTCCGTGCCGATCCGGGCCAGTCAGCACGGATACGATTTCATTTTCCACTCATAACTGCTCATAACGGAGCTTTTTGGAATGTAATACAAATGAGTAAGTCGTTGCCTTGGTAATGCAAGTGTAACGTAAACTGCGATATGGACGATGATCAGATATTTCTGTTTTTGGGACTCCTTTTTTATCTGATATTTACTTCGTTAAATTACAGAAAAAAGGACACAACTCTTGATGCGAAAAATTAAATAAACAGAAGGCGATGACGGGTATAATATCAGTAAGTGCCGCAAATGATTCCTCCACAGACCAAACTGTCTCAGACATTTTTTTTCTCTTTTTTTATATTGAATGTAGCGTAGCTGTTTACTTGGCTGTTTGATCAAATAGCGCGCTTCCGCTTAGCCAGCTATGGAGAAACTGGTAGCCAGGCAACAGAGTGGCGACGTCACACACACGCACTCTACCAGTACAGCTCAGCACGGTTGTCGAACCGTGCCGAGAACGGTTTGTAATCGTGCCGCGCCATACCAGGCTCACGTGGATATACAACTGAAACCGTACCTGGGTTCTTAGAACCGTTCGGCCCGATATTGGAAAAGCGGCTTAAAATAGCCTTGACTGTTGAGTTCCACAGCTATTGACTTTTTTTGTTCTCGCTCACCGGACTTGTGTGTGTGTAGGTGATGCAGGGTTGCGGGGTTTTCACAACAAAACCCACTCAATTGCTACTCAAAACGCATTTCGAGGGGGGTTCTGGGGGGTAAAATACACGTTTTTCGGCAGGGTTCCTCCGGTAAAATTCGCATTCATATCATGATATTGGGGTCGCTTCAACCCGTGGCAACAGTGTTAAAGCAGCCCAGTTCTGTGGGAAAACCACGGACTCTGGAACTGAGGTGATGTAAAAGAGGAAAGCAGGCATTTGGACCAAAGCACTGTGAGGCAAGGGAGAGGGACACTCAAAATGTTTCTAAACTTAAAACACATTTTTGCCCCGTTTGCGTTGTTTTACTAATTGCAAAGTTATTTAAAGTATAAAACATTGTTATTTAGAATACACAGCGTGGTTTTTAATCATATTTTTAGGGGGGACAACCCACAGATGGGGGGGGTCCTGTCCCCCCGACCCCCCCGGGATTTCCGCCTATGGCCAAAGATGAAAATAGTGAGAGAAGTAAGATGCTGATGCTGTTACGATCTCCTGATCAAACACTGAGCACTCAAATGTGGTAAATGGAAGCTCAAGAACAAATGAGGTTCTTGTGAACCGCGGCACATTTGAACTTTTGAGAAAACCAATCAAGTTTGTTGCACGTGAAGTAAGTTTGGTTCAGCTTCTGTTTATTTTCACTGATCTATGGGAATTTATGTGAATAAAAGTCTAAATTAAATTTTTAATTTTATATGTTGCTTTTTCTGTCTTATAAAATAATTGCTTCTCTTCAAAAGACTAGGATTAAGCCGCTTGATTCATATGGATTTATTTTTTATCTCTTTATGCCCATTTTGAAGTCTTGTGGATTTGGAACAACATGGAGGAGAGTAAATCATTTTTCATTTTCATTTTGGGTGAACTGTCCTTTAACTACTCAATGGAGGGGAAGCTTTACGGTGAATAATGTCATTAAAATATTACATTTTTTTACACAGATCATCATATGACCTCAAGAGTGATCATGGGTTACTGTTGTTACGATTTTGTTGTTTGTAGCATGAAGTTTCTTCAAAATATCACTTTTTATGTTCTACTGAAGACAGTCAGTCATACCGGTTATTAAATAAGTTTTCATTTTAGGTGACCTCTTCTAAAAATCATTTTCTATTAAATTAATTCACAGTATATCACAAATTGAACATACCTTCACGAGTAACTGGAGAGGAATTTGCACTGAGGAGTAATTCTTCACGCAGCACATGGTGTCATAATCAAATTCAAACCTCTCCAGGTGCAGAACCAGAACTGAAGGAACTTCCTGCAAACTGGAGATCTGGAAGAAATTATCATTATACAAAATTACATATTTATAAAAGAATGTTTTAACCTCAATCATGGTGAAACATTCTGTATTGCTGGAGTTTCATTCCAAGACTTTTTTAAATAGAACTTTAGTTCTAAGTTTGTCACATTTAAAAAGAAGTTACCATATTTATATACCATTTATGAAGCAAAACTCACAATTTTTGTCTTCATCATCATTTCACAACCTTTGCAGTACACTTGTTGGTCTTCCCCACACATGATGATTGGCGCAAAATATGAATCAAAGCAATTTTGCTGAAATACCAAAAAAAAAAAAGTTATTGAAACATTTTTGTCCATGTTAACTTATTGGGTTTGCCTGAAGGTAAAAATGATGAAATATTAACTAAACAAACATTAATTTAAAAGAATATTCCAGGTTTAAGAACTTCACATGTCATTTGTAAGTAATTTAGACATCCTTTGTTTTCAGAAATTGAGCTTGAGGTGAGGGGCTCTTATAATGGAAGTGAATAAGGTCAGTATCTGGAGCATTTAAAATAAAAATGTGAAGCTTACAATTTTATGAAAGCACATTAATTCTATGAAAAACAATGTATTGTTTGAGCTATATAAATTAAGCCGTTTAAAATCATTGTACAGTGTCTTTAGGGTTTTGTTGGTTAGCAGTTTGTTGTAATGATGTAAAAGAGGAAAGCAGGCATTTGGACCAAAGCACTGTGAGGCAAGGGAGAGGGACACTCAAAATGTTTCTAAACTTAAAACACATTTTTGCCCCGTTTGCGTTGTTTTACTAATTGCAAAGTTATTTAAAGTATAAAACATTGTTATTTAGAATACACAGCGTGGTTTTTAATCATATTTTTAGGGGGGACAACCCACAGATGGGGGGGGTCCTGTCCCCCCGACCCCCCCGGGATTTCCGCCTATGGCCAAAGATGAAAATAGTGAGAGAAGTAAGATGCTGATGCTGTTACGATCTCCTGATCAAACACTGAGCACTCAAATGTGGTAAATGGAAGCTCAAGAACAAATGAGGTTCTTGTGAACCGCGGCACATTTGAACTTTTGAGAAAACCAATCAAGTTTGTTGCACGTGAAGTAAGTTTGGTTCAGCTTCTGTTTATTTTCACTGATCTATGGGAATTTATGTGAATAAAAGTCTAAATTAAATTTTTAATTTTATATGTTGCTTTTTCTGTCTTATAAAATAATTGCTTCTCTTCAAAAGACTAGGATTAAGCCGCTTGATTCATATGGATTTATTTTTTATCTCTTTATGCCCATTTTGAAGTCTTGTGGATTTGGAACAACATGGAGGAGAGTAAATCATTTTTCATTTTCATTTTGGGTGAACTGTCCTTTAACTACTCAATGGAGGGGAAGCTTTACGGTGAATAATGTCATTAAAATATTACATTTTTTTACACAGATCATCATATGACCTCAAGAGTGATCATGGGTTACTGTTTTTACGATTTTGTTGTTTGTAGCATGAAGTTTCTTCAAAATATCACTTTTTATGTTCTACTGAAGACAGTCAGTCATACCGGTTATTAAATAAGTTTTCATTTTAGGTGACCTCTTCTAAAAATCATTTTCTATTAAATTAATTCACAGTATATCACAAATTGAACATACCTTCACGAGTAACTGGAGAGGAATTTGCACTGAGGAGTGATTCTTCACGCAGCACATGGTGTCATAATCAAATTCAAACCTCTCCAGGTGCAGAACCAGAACTGAAGGAACTTCCTGCAAACTGGAGATCTGGAAGAAATTATCATTATACAAAATTACATATTTATAAAAGAATGTTTTAACCTCAATCATGGTGAAACATTCTGTATTGCTGGAGTTTCATTCCAAGACTTTTTTAAATAGAACTTTAGTTCTAAGTTTGTCACATTTAAAAAGAAGTTACCATATTTATATACCATTTATGAAGCAAAACTCACAATTTTTGTCTTCATCATCATTTCACAACCTTTGCAGTACACTTGTTGGTCTTCCCCACACATGATGATTGGCGCAAAATATGAATCAAAGCAATTTTGCTGAAATACCAAAAAAAAAAAAGTTATTGAAACATTTTTGTCCATGTTAACTTATTGGGTTTGCCTGAAGGTAAAAATGATGAAATATTAACTAAACAAACATTAATTTAAAAGAATATTCCAGGTTTAAGAACTTCACATGTCATTTGTAAGTAATTTAGACATCCTTTGTTTTCAGAAATTGAGCTTGAGGTGAGGGGCTCTTATAATGGAAGTGAATAAGGTCAGTATCTGGAGCATTTAAAATAAAAATGTGAAGCTTACAATTTTATGAAAGCACATTAATTCTATGAAAAACAATGTATTGTTTGAGCTATATAAATTAAGCCGTTTAAAATCATTGTACAGTGTCTTTAGGGTTTTGTTGGTTAGCAGTTTGCAAATGTACACAACAGTCTCAGGCCTGTGTCCTCTCTCTCTCTTCAAATGGTCCTGTCGAAAATGGCTTCCAAAGAGAATGGATTCTCAAGACCAGAAAATACACCAGGGAGGAGTTTCTCTCAGGTCTCAACACAGTTTGAGAATGTTAGGTTTACGATCTGTTTACCCATAATGTAGACATTTTAAAGAGATCACTTGAAGATGCTTGTATAGTCTATGCATTACAAATGTTGTGGTGAATATTAACTTATGTATATTACTAAATCATTGATTTACTGAGAATAGTGTTTTAAAATTCAGCGTCACAAATGTCTCAAGATTATAATAAATCAACCTGCTTCATTAAAGTATACGTTGAAGAAAAAAAGAAAGACATTTTTGGACTGGGAAATAAAATGTATATTTTGCCTTGTATATGCATATGTATAATATATGTATGATATATTTTCTTTCAACAAATAAAAGTAGGACAAGGAAATTGGTGACTGTCATCTTAACTGTAGCAATATTTCAATAAAATGTGACTTCCTCATGGGGCTCTTATCAATATATAATTTCCAATGTATGGTTATTTCAGCGCTGTTAAGATAACTCCTTGCTGATCACACTTTCTGTTTGTTTTGGGGGCAAAACAATAAATAAATATAAAATAAAGAGAAGTGACATTATTAAAACAATTTCCTTTCGTAGATCAAATATGGAATTAGAACATTTTAAAGACATTGTACTATTCTTTGTGCTAGATGTTTGATAGTCACATATGACATCGCTTAAATCAGTTTTAATCATAAAACTGCCCTTTGGATCTTCACTAACAAAACTGATCTCTTATGTTATTTAACAGAAGCGTCATCAAGTGAACAGTGGTTTAAAGTAAGTGTAACAGAAAATCAGGAGATTCAACTTGAAGTCAATTCAATATAATTTGAATAATAAGTTAATTCAGCAACAGACCCCCCAAATTCTAATGTCTAATAATGATCTCTGATGTTTAATTTCAGGGACAGACTGAATTCAAATGCCCAGTGTGTGAGGAAACATGGCCATATGATGAAGTGCGAAAACTGGCGAAACTTTCAGATGATGAGAAATCCAGTTTTGAAGAAAAGCTTGGGACGAATACTGTTAAGAATTTAGTTGACTTCAGGGTTGTAAGTACATTTTTGCCTTGCAGAAGTAGTAAACATTAATAAGGGAGTTGATGGGTCAAGTCTGACCTTGCACCTCTGTCTTTTCTCTTTCCATATTCAGTGTCCTGGTTGTAGCACCTTTGTTGAAAGGTTGGATGTTTCCAATCTCTGCGTGGAGTGCCCAGTGTGCACAGAAAAGACTGGAGATTCATATGATTTTTGCTGGAATTGTTTAAGAGAGTGGAAAGGGTCTCACAATCGTGCTGATCGATGTGGTAACGTGGGATGTACCATTGACAAGAAACTGCTGAAAGACTGTCCAATGATCTCTTTAACATACTTTAAAAATGAAGTGCAGTGCCCAAAAATCCGTGCATGCACATCTTGTGGTGTGCTGATTGAACACACTAATGATGGATGTAATAACATGGAATGCCCTGAATGTGACAATGAGTTTTGCTTTATTTGTTTAAATTCTGGCCATGACTATGATGAAGATCAGCCATGCAAACTGGCACCAAGGCAAATAGATTCTGAATCACACCAGTAACTGCACTGGAAAAAAATGGCTTCCATTATTTTAAATAATACATTTAGATTTTTTTTTTATCATTTTATTTATTTCAAAATTATGTGGTATATTAATATATTTGCAAATAAATGTAAATAGATTGCATATATTATTTCAAGACTTTACATTGTCACACTGGTGGTCCTTGAGGTAAATCAGTCAGCCTTTTTCTTCATAATTATGTCCTTAATCTCCAGTGCTCTGGAGTAAATGAAGTTCGTCATAAAGAGACTCATGATGTCACCTGCTGGACAACTGCAGAATTACAACTAAAATAATCACACAGTACCATGCTTACTGTCTACACGTGGTGACTTGAATATCCTTTTTATATTATTTTGTTATTCTTTAATATAATTTATTTGCTTATTCATTTATGCATTCAGTCATAAATCTGTTAAAATATACAATGAAAACTAATGCATACAAATAAGTATTTGAGTAATTAAGAACAATGCATTACAATCATGATTGGGTGAGCATGTAGCTGGTACAAGTGAAGGAATGATTAGTGTAGAGAAGCATATGAATGAAATTTCATGTCATGAAATTCAAGATTACGTTTTTAAGAGAAACACGCCAATGGACTTCCAAAGCAGTAAAAGTAATGTGGGTCCATGCTTGACACCTGCAGAAATTCAAATAGTAGACTAATGACCAGATGTTTAAAATGTGTTATTTAAATGTAGACTGTTCTACTAGGACAGCTGCACGACTAAATCATAAAGATATAATATAAAATAACCATAGATTTTATGGACGTAATGTTAAATAACTCCAGGGCAGGCGTAACGTTATATGTGCAACTTCTCCGTTGCACACTTTTGGAAGGGCTATTTCAAGAAATGTAGCAATTGTGAAAAATGCAACAAGGTTGAATATTAAAGCATACGTTTACATTTACGTTTACACCTAAATTGAATAATAATGTAATATTCTATTATAAATGACATTTATTGATCTAATCTGACACGTATTGAATCTGCATACGATCCATATCTCCACGCAGAAGACTACGGTAAGTGTCAGGCTCCTCCTCAGACTGCACGCGGAACATTGATGTGGAAACACTTCACTTGCTGGAAAAGCCTCAAGTAAAAGACAACAGCGAAGTCTGAGAAGCTGACGTTGTTTAAAATGTCTGAAGACGCGAAGAAATTCTCTTCATTCGACAAAGGTATCAATTTGGTGTCAAAACCAAGCGATCTCGGTAAGTTTGTGTCTTCCTGTTACAGCGTCACAGTAAAGACGCTAGGTATCTGATCCTATAAATATAGTAAGATGTCCCCACCTTCCTTAACGTTTCTCTTTACCAAAGATGAGCAAATCTAATCTCCGCACTTTTGATGAATGCTATGCAATTTAGAATTTTGTCATTTCATCTGAATGTCCAACGTGATCTCATGATAATTTGTATGTATTTTACGTAAAATGTGGTTCTATAAAACGTACATTTACTTACGTTTGTACAGGCACTAAAACGTACAATACTGACGTATTTTCAGCCTCTAAACTTACAAAACTGACGTATTGACGGCACCTAAAAATGAATCCTTATGAATACTGAAATCGCGTCATTAATTTTATTAGTTTTTAGTTGTCATATGAATTACCTTGTTTTCAATTGCATTATTACATTTAACGTTACTCATTTACTTATGAAATGATAACATCGTTGTTTTGTTGTGATTTCTGCTGCCAGCTCGTTTCCAAGAATATGCCTACATAATGTTAAACACGACTTTCTGAAGGACTCCAAGATGGTGAGAAATAAGATTCTCTGGTCTGATGAGACCAAGATAGAACTTTTTGGCCTTAATTCTAAGCGGTATGTGTGGAGAAAACCAGGCACCTGTCCAATACAGTCCCAACAGTGAAGCATGGTGGTGGCATCATCATGCTGTGGGGGTGTTTTTCAGCTGCAGGGACAGGACGACTGGTTGCAATCGAGGGAAAGATGAATGCGGCCAAGTACAGGGATATCCTGGATGAAAACCTTCTCCAGAGTGCTCAGGACTTCAGACTGGGCCGAAGGTTTACCTTCCAACAAGACAATGACCCTAAGCACACAGCTAAAATAACGAAGGAGTGGCTTCACAACAACTCTGTGACTGTTCTTGAATGGCCCAGCCAGAGCCCTGACTTAAACCCAATTGAGCATCTCTGGAGAGACCTAAAAATGGCTGTCCACCTACGTTTACCATCCAACCTGACAGAACTGGAGTGGATCTGCAAGGAGGAATGGCAGAGGGTCCCCAAATCCAGGTGTGAAAAACTTGTTGGATCTTTCCCAAAAAGACTCATGGCTGTATTGGATCAAAAGGGTGCTTCTACTAAATATTGAGCAAAGGGTCTGAATACTTAGGATCATGTGATATTTCAGTTTTTCTTTTTTAATAAATCTGCAAAAATGTCAACAATTCTGTGTTTTTCTGTCAATATGGGGTGCTGTGTGTACATTAATGAGGAAAAAAAATTAACTTAAATGATTTTAGCAAATGGCTGCAATATAACAAAGAGTGAAAAATTTAAGGGGGTCTGTGAATACTTTCCGTACCCACTGTATATATATATATATAATTTGTTAATGAGGCATCTGTGTACACATAAATGTTTTTGTGGAGTAGAAGTTAGTGTTTAATTTTTAGGAAAAGTTAAAATTAGACCTTTTGTGTAAGATGTACACAGAAGGACCCAAGTGGTATGTTGTTACAGTTACTAGTGTTATTATTTGTAATACTTCTTGTAATTAATGAGGTTATTATTTAAGATTTCCATGATTTAGATGTACATTTCAGACATCTTTGCTTTCATTTAAAACCTAGGTTAACTGTGAAATAATTCAAATTTGCAATTAATCTTAATTAAACTTGCAATTATCTTCAATTTAACCATAGACTGCTCAATATGTAAATATTCATCCCTTTTACTGGGACTCTGCTTTGCCTGTCATTGGATATTTAATTATTCAACTAGCCTAAATTGTCAAAATAAAAATTGTAATGCGATAGTTGATTTAGTGTTTTACATGAACAACACACACACAAATATATATATATATATATATATATATAGCAAAAGCATGCATTCTATTCATGCATTCTGTAAATGTTTATCCAGGGGAAGCTTCTAACCCCAGGTAGGGGGCAAACTTACATTGTGTGCTATAACAACTAAATTAGCAAATGTTTTTATTAATTTCCTTCAGTAACACATTGGCTAATGCAGCATCATCCTGTACATGCTAAATGTGTATGTAAATATGTTACAGTTTAAAAGTAAATGCACATTCTTCTTAAGTGGGGCATCTTACCCTGTATATAGATCATTGTGTCAGTATAATGACATGCATTTCTTCAGACATGTGGCAGTAGGTTATTGGACGCTTTGGGAGTGAGAACAGATTGCTTATTTTTGTTATACAAATGCAGTAGTTGTAGCTACAGCTTCATGTGTTTAAGCTGCTGTTTTTTTACTAGCAGATGCCATAGTTTGTTTTAACGTAACCGTAGTTATTAAATTAGTAGTACCCATAGTAAATTGATTTAACAAAGTTTGTATGAAAGTTACAAAGCTTTGTAAACTTTTTCAGATGAATATGATAATGAGCCGGATGTGTTAAGAGCTGTGTTATCCTGCGGTCACGTCACAGATCCAGAGACACTGACTGATTGTTGCAGAGCTCAGATGGATGATGTGAGCAAATTGCGCTTGCGGTTTGTACATGGAAATAATTCTAATAGCATATTAACGGTATGATAACCAGTTATGATCTTTGGTATTCATTTCAGGGAAAGACCGAATTCAAATGTCCGCTGTGTGAGAAGAAATGGCCATATGATGAAGTGCGAAAACTGGCAAAACTTTCAGATGATGAGAAATTAATTTTTGAGGACAAGGTTGGGACAAACACTGTTAAGAAGTTAGTCGACTTCAGGGGTGTAAGTAGCCTGTATTTCTGCCTCATAATTGTGATCTTAAGATTAACTTAATTTTAATTATTGATATTATATTAGATATAGATTCTTTATATAATGGAATTAAGCTTTCACACAGCTCAGAGTGATAGATGCAACTGACAGAAATTAGAAACCCCTCACATAAGAAAGCATGCACCATTTACTCAGATCAGTTTTGGAATTAGACTTTTTTTTCTCAATACAGTAAGTTTGGATCTCTGAACAATTAGATTCTTGTTTTTACCAGATTACAGTTTGTATTAATTTACGCAAATTGCAGTGTTTTGGCATGTGTGTGTGTGTGAGTGTGTGTGTGTATGTGTGCGCGCAATGCAGTCAATTTGTCTAGAGTTGCACAGTAACTTAATGCACGTAGCTTACTGATCAGGGAAGAGTTTCCCAAAAGCATCGTTAGCTATACAGTCGCAAGTTCCATAGAACTCCATTGGTAATGACGGAACTTGCAACCATAGTTGATTTTGGGAAATACACCCCAGAATTGATGAGATGATTCTCAATTAAATGTCATACTTATCACAACTTGATCCATTCAGTTATCAAAGTCAGAGTCAATAACTAGCATGAATTAAATGTTTTGGGCGAGTTACATTTTCAGACATGCTAGTGATATACCATAAAACAGTTGTGAAAATCGCACTTTACAGTTAGAGTATGTTTAAAAGAAAACTGTAATACTAAAGAGAGAATGTCTGAGAGAATGTGTCTGTGTGTAGGGCTGATTTAACAAGATGAAGTAAAAACGGCAGTCAGGCAGTCTGTAATTTACAAAGAATGATGTTGACTTGTTCAGATTGTTTGGTGTGACACTTGCTGTAGATTTTTAAGCATTGCAGATGGTGGAGAGATGTACAATGGTGAGTGAATGGGAACTAATGTGAGCTTAAAATGTCCATATTTAGTGTCCTGGTTGTGGCACCTTCGTTGAAAGGTTGGATGTTTCCAATCTCTGTGTAAAATGCTCAGTTTGCACAGAAAGGACCAGAAAAACCTATCATTTCTGCTGGCAGTGTCTGAGAGAGTGGAAAGGACCTGGACCTCGAGCTGATCGATGTGCTAATGTGGGATGTACAATTGACCAGAAACTGCTTAAAGACTGTCCGATGATCACTTTAAAATCAGTTCAAAATGTGCAGTGTCCAGCGATCCGTGCATGCACATCTTGTGGCATTCTGCTTGAACACAATAACAAGGGACATAAAATTATAGAATGTCATGCATGCAATAACCGATTTTGTTTTATCTGTTTAAAGCCTGCAGATGAGTGCATAAAAACAACAACCCATTACATTGTATGCACAGCTGGTGTTGCACCAAGACAGGTTGATTAAGCATATGTGCAACAAAATTGATATCAGCAAGAGTGCACAGAAAGCATGGTCTCCCATGCATTAAATTTGAAAACATTTAATTTATGACATGTTTAGCTATTTGGAAATATAAACAAATATATATAACATAGCGTATTACTTTTAATATTTTAGCAAATAGTAAGTACATTTTAGATTTTTCTCTGTGAATATGTCCATTATCATTACTAAAAGTAAGTCATATGAATTGAGGAAATTAATTATTCTGCAGTCTTTTAAAGATATATAATTGCTTTTTATGATGAACAGATTTAATTTAGGCTTTTATTAATTTAGAAGCTCAAACATGCCTGTATGATGTAGCCTCACTGATTCACAAACACATTTGATTTTCCGTTTACCATATAATTGCTCTTTGTATGTGTGAATTAAAATCTGCCTGTCTGTATTTCTATACTATATTAATTTTTCAGACAAAGCTTTGTTAAGCCATTATATATTTTGTTCAGACTTTTCAATCTGTTTGTAGAATCAATTCATTTTTAGATTCATTGTGGATTCAGTTAAGTTGAATGGATCGGTCTATAGATTAAACACTTTGTGAAATGGTAATTTTGTGCAATTAAAAAACATGCTGTAATGTGTGCAAGAGATTTGAAAAATTACTCTATATATTCCCAATTTCTTTAATGAATATTTGCTTGTAGATGACTAAACATGTAAATAAACAGAACCTGATTTTAGAGTTTTTGTTGCTGTTGAAAAGTGTTTAATAGGGGGAGACCAGGAATGGTAGTTACATTTGTGACATTTCTGTCTGTATCTTGGAGTTGTTTTAAGGCAGTTCACTCAAAATGTGATTCAAACTAGTTACTAGTGTCTGCTATTAAATGGCGTAGCTGTTATATTTGCAGCAGAAACAGAAAATGCATGGTTTAATTTTAAACATGAGGAGTGAAATGTTAAAATTAGTGCTGTCAAACGATTAATCGCATCCGAAATAAAAGTTTTTGTTTACATAATATTGGTAATTTTGTGCAATTAAAAAACATGCTGTAATGTGTGCAAGAGATTTGAAAAATTACTCTATATATTCCCAATTTCTTTAATGAATATTTGCTTGTGAATGACTAAAAATGTAAATAAACAGAACCTGATTTTAGAGTTTTTGTTGCTGTTGAAAAGTGTTTAATAGGGGGAGACCAGGGATGGTAGTTACATTTGTGACATTTCTGTCTGTATCTTGGAGTTGTTTTAAGGCAGTTCACTCAAAATGTGATTCAAACTAGTTACTAGTGTCTGCTATTAAATGGCGTAGCTGTTATATTTGCAGCACAAACAGAAAATGCATGGTTTAATTTTAAACATGAGGAGTGAAATGTTAAAATTAGTGCTGTCAAACGATTAATCGCATCCGAAATAAAAGTTTTTGTTTACATAATATATGTGTGTGTGTTGTGTATATTTATTATGTATAGATAAAGACACATTCAGTATATATATTGAAAATATTTACATGTATATATTTACAATATATATCATATATAAATATATTTAATTATAAACATAACATATTTTTCTTAAATATATACATGCATGTGTGTGTATTTATATATA